AGTGTCAGGTCAAACTTGCTCGTGTCCCTCTAAATGTGACTTCAGGCATGTCTTACTGTGCATGAGTTTGCACCTTGGTTTGCTCATTAAAGAAGAAATGATCTAATGGAGAGAGTCATGGTGCCTTCATGTCATCAAGAAAGTGCTGAAAAGCAAATGTGCAAGCCCTTTTGTGCCTTCAGAGTATTGATCACACAGAGAACTCCAATATTTCTTTTGCAGGCAATGAACAGGCATTATCTGTATTCTGAAGGTATACGGTACATGTTCCCAAAGATCCAGCATTGTGTTGGCCAGATGTGGGAACCTGCAATCCTTCAGATACTGTTGAACTACAATTCCCATCATCACTGACCCATGATGGTTTGAGCAGATGGCAATTGAAATCTGACATCTGGAGGACCACAAATTACCTAGGCCTACTTTAGTGGATCTATTCTTGGTTCCCTTTCTTGTATCTTCACAACATATAGAATAATTTTTGAAATATGGACTAATGGTATCCTTACTATCTTGTTGTTTTTTGGATAGTATGTCCAAACTAGGAGATGCTGCTGCTAGTACCATGACATCTGTGTAATGTAATTGAAGGCATTCAATACCAAGAATATTATTTGATCTCTTAAGCTGCACACCGCACCAATAACTTCAATACATCATCATCACAAGTTGGGCTGGTGGGTCTTTTTAATGAGACAACAGAATTCTATCATTATAGGTCAACTATTTCAGCAAGAGCAAAGCCTAAGGATGGAATCCTATGCATGCTTACTCATCTAGAAGCAGGTTACTTGTTTCCAAGTAAGGATGTTTGGGACGTGGGTGGCGCTAAGGGACGCAGGTGGCACTGTGGGTAAAACCTCAGTGCCTAGGACTTGCGCTGATCGCATGGTCGGCGGTTCGAATCCCCATGGCGGGGTGAGCTCCCGTCGTTCGGTCCCAGCTCCTGCCCACCTAGCAGTTTGAAAGCACCCTTAAGTGCAAGTAGATAAATAGGTACCGCTTTATAGTGGGAAGGTAAACGGCGTTTCTGTGTGCTGCGCTGGTGCAGGCTTGCCAGAGCAGCTTCGTCACGCTGGCCACGTGACCCAGAAGTGTCTCCGGACAGCGCTGGCCCCCGGCCTCTTAAGCGAGATGGGCGCGCAACCCCAGAGTCGGACACGACTGGCCCGTACGGGCAGGGGTACCTTTACCTTTAAGGATGTTTACTTAGGATTGTGCTGCATATGAAGTAGCGAAGAAGGCAAGTTTTGTCCCTTTCTGGACAGTGATTAGTCTCTGTTGGGTTCAGGCAACCACTGATAACTCTGGTGCATCTGTGCTGATAAGGCATGGTCCTATTTTGGCTGTACCTTTTATTAAACGCTATCTTAAAAAAATTGTCATCTTCAGCAAAACTGCAGTGCACTGGCATTTAATCAAGTAGATTAAACAAAATGAACGAATTCTCCATTAAAAGGCATCAGATTAAGAAAACTGTGCTGTTAGATCTGCTTAGTAAAAATGTTCATCTTTCTTTAAAATTATTATGTATTCTTTCAGAGATGACTAAAATCTACAAAACTATATTTGAAAAGCATTAGTGGGCATTTAAATGCCACACTGGCACTTGTTTGCTGCTATTTTCTGTCTTTTTATAAACAGTAAGGCACATTTGGCTTAATAAAATGTTAGTAGCCAAGCAGGAATTATTTGAGAGATTCTGAATCATTTCTTTAAAATAATACAATCAACAGCTCTATTTCAGGGAAGTTGGTCCCTTAAGCTATAAATGCATTCTGATTATTTATCTGCAAGGTAATGAAATGGAACAGAAGGAAAGTAGCGGAGGAGGGGAATGATTCTCTGTATATGAATCCTAAGCACCAGGAAATGACTAAATACATCCTGAGAGGAAATAGCATCTGCGAATACACTGAAGTTTGTTAAAGTACCTGAGCACCACAATGGAATGTGGTACCTACCTGCCAACCAGTTCCTATGACAGATGATAACATCAGGCGGCTAGCTGATCTGGCCTCCAAGGAACGCATTTCCTTCTTCTGCTGTTGTGGAGCATTCCTTGGAGCCCAGATTGCCTCCTGTCCAACAGCTCCACTTCCTCCATGATGCCACTACAGTGGCCTCTTGGCAAAAAGCAGTCTCTGCTGGTCCCCAGGGAAGAAATGACAGGGGTTGTACTCTTGGGTTTCCTGGACATTGCAGCTGCCCAGCATTATTCAGAGAACCCCATGATTCAGAGTGGGAATAATGATGTGCTTTTCCCCAATTCAACCATCGAGGAAGGTTGATTTGATTCCCCAAATGTTCCTGATGTAGATCTTCATTCACCCTTTTGTTTTTGATTAAGATCTTTACTTCCTCTCTGGTTCTTGATGTAGATCCTCACTCCTCTCTTCTTCCCTGGCAGGAGGGACACCATTTTGTGGTTTGCCTCAGGTGCCAAAAGATCTCAGGCTGGTCCTGTGATAAGGCAATTTTCTCTCCTCTGTTCCAAACTGAGTAGATTTGTGTATACCCATAACTGAAGAGTCTTGTGTAGGTAGTGGTGACTGATGCCCTCTGGGACTGGTAAGGTGGAAGGCAAGGAGACCAACAGTATGCACAGCCAGAGCCATTGGCAGCCAGAGCCAGCTCATTCTAGTTTTGTCCCTATACTCCATGCTGAGTTGTGTAAGCACGATACCAAGACTTAGAAGGAGGGAGGTGACAATCCGTGGACTGCTTGCAAGGAAGAAGGCAGACAGGTAGGGGCTGATTGAAGGCAGATGGACATTGAGTGAGAAAGTGCCACCGTCACCCTCACGGACCAGCCTTCACTGTGTGTGAGTGTATAACCAAAGGATATCCAAGTACTTTTTAAAGATAATAACCTATAAACTCATTCGTTTTCCCTTAAACTTATTTATGTAAAAGCTCTTTAACCTGTTTTTCTGTGTGCTCTGTCCTCAGAACCTGATTTATGAAACTCTGAAACACACACAAAGATTGCAGTCTAGGGGTACGGAGCCAGCCCACATGGCCAATGGTCAAGGATGATGGATACTGTGATTCAGCAGCACCCAGAGGGCTACAGGCTCCCCATCCCAAAGTTAAGACATAGAGTAAATATGATCATTTTTTATTGCACAGTTCTATAAAATGTGCTGGGCCCCCCAATCTTGGGTGCAACCTGGTGCCTCTGTGGGAGAGTCATGTTGAAGTCACCCAGAGCTTGTAACCAGCCCCCCTTGATATGGGATTATCAGCAACTGGCTATCTTTGAGGAAGTCCAAACATCTTTTCTTCACTTAGAGAAGTCCTCAAGACAACATTTTGCGAATCGTTGCCCTAAAGGATCAGGGAACATATCTGAAAATGATATTATATTTGCATTGGCTTCTAACATAATTATTGAAAACTCTTTCATAAAATGAAAGTCAGAACTGAAATACATGTGCTGTACACCTGACAGAGAAGAGATGGCTACCCATTCCCAGTTCTGCATTGAAATATTTCCAGCAGCTCATTCAGGTGAAAATTAAATCCTCTGTAGTGTTTGCAAGGTACATCTAGAGAGTTCTGTTAAGATCGACTAATTAATTAGTTAATTAGCTCCTTGAAGAAGGTATTACCTCAAAAAGTGCTATAGGCTAAAGTTAGAACAACTTGAGTCTTCATTTTTTTTAGCTTTCATTAAGACTTTCTAAAGGTATTGTCTGCACCAAGCTAAATCACCAAATTGACTGAGCATTATACCCATGCGATCTGCTCCACAACTAATTGAACATGACCTTTAAGGCATAAGCCTTAGAAAATTGGTATTTAGAACCTTAAAGTGCTTCTTCCAGTAGAGCAGCTTCTCCCCTCACACTTTCATTTAGGAAGAAAACCCAAAATAATCATGGATATAATATGAGAGAACACATTTCTCCATATCAACCTGCCAGAAGTCACATCCACACCATAAATTTAAAGCATACTTCACTCACATGGCTTCCCTCAAAGAATGCTGGGAATTGTAGATTGTTAATGGTGCTGGAAACTGTAGCTCTGTGAGGAGTAAATTACAGTTTCTGGGATTCTTTGAGGAAGCAACTCACCAAAATTCCAGTGCCTCTTTCCACACTACCTTCTTTGAAAATGCTGAACTCTAGAATGGAAATATTCAACATGGTGCTCTGCAAATGCTGGACTCCAGTCCTCATCATTCCTGACCTTTGGCCTTGCTGGCTAGGCCTGGTGGCAGATGGAATCCAACAACATCTGAAGGGCACCTCCTCTTCTAGAAAACATTTATGTTTCATCTATTAAGATGGCTGCTTTTTAAAAGCATCTATCAATCTTTAGCCTGAATGCTTTTAAAACCCTGTACATAAACTAGTTGAATTCATTTTAGGCTTTAGGAAGTAAATCTTCAGATCTTTAAAAATGTATAATAGGCATACTTCTTTTTTTTTCAGTAAAAATTCTTTAAAGAGCATCTGAAAGGGCTATGACAAAGATTTGAGATTTGAAAGGGAAAGGTTTCTAATAGTGAATGTCACCCACAAAAGCACAGAAGATTGCTAAAAGAATGGTAAGCATCTAAAGGTCACCTATAATAATAGATAATAGCTTTATTTATATAGCACATGCCTGCACATGGGGCTGGATGCTGTACATCAAAACAATATAATCAGATTCAATAAAACTGTATTAACATTTAAAAACTTTTTTTAAAATAAAAAAGCAAGAACACACTGAAGGGGAAAATACATGGAAGTTACAATCCTGCAGCCCATCAGTTGGCCACTGACATGTTGTAGAATTTTGCAGAAGGGTTGTTCCACCAGTAGAGAGAAGCACCAAAGATTGCTAAAAGAAGATCACACGTGTGGTCCCAGATTGCCCCTGACATTTCATGCTAAAACAGTGGAAACCTCCTCTGGCAGAGTTTCTGTGGCTGTATAGGGTAGAAAAAGAGGCATATACAATTCCATCTAGCTTGGTATTGTTAACAATCATTGGCAGCATCTTCCAGCTCTGCCGGGAGATGTTGGGGATTGAACCTGGGATCTTCTGCATGCAAAGCAGATTCTCTACCACTAAGCTATGGGCCTTGCCCAAGATCCAAAGACCTCAAACATGCTCCAAGATAGGCCAAACATAAAAATACAAAATGCCAGTCCCGGAGCTGGCAAAGTTATTTTCTTTTTTTATATATAAGATATTTATTAAAGTTTCGAAAATAAAAAAGAGTTACAATAGTAATAATAAGAAAGAATAAAAAAAGAAAGAAAAAAATACAAAATACAAAAAAGTAAAAACAATTAAAAACAAATCAATCTTTCCATATCTTGTCTTTCACTCACTTGTTTCCCTGACCTCCTCACACCTCCCCTTTTTTGTATTCCAGTTCAGTAAATTAATTCAGCAAATCCTTTCCCTCTTTGTTTTTATCTTAGACCTTTGTCTTAATATATAATAATTGTATATTCTCATCTGTTAACAGTCCATTTTTACATACTCCTTGTAGCATTACTACTAAAAACCCCTTAGCTTCATTCCAACATCATTCTAACATTCATTAATTTTACAGCATTTCTGTAGATAGTCTTTAAATTTATTCCAATCTTCTTCCACCGACTCTTCTCCCTGGTCTCGGATTTTGCCAGTCATTTCCGCCAGTTCCATATAGTCCATCACCTCCATCTGCCATTCTTCCAGGGTGGGTAGATCTTGTGTCTTCCAGTACTTTGCAATAAGAATTCTTGCTGCTGTTGTGGCATACATAAAAAAAGTTCTATCCTTCTTTGGCACCAATTGGCTCACTATGCCCAGGAGAAAGGCCTCTGGTTTCTTCAGGAAGGTATATTTAAATACCTTTTTCATTTCATTATAGATCATCTCCCAGAAAGCCTTAATCCTTGGGCACGTCCACCAAAGGTGAAAGAATGTACCCTCAGTTTCTTTACATTTCCAACATTTATTATCGGGCAAATGATAAATTTTTGCAAGCTTGACTGGTGTCATGTACCACCTGTATATCATTTTCATAATATTCTCTCTTAAGGCATTACATGCCGTGAACTTCATACCTGTGGTCCATAACTATTCCCAGTCAGCCATCATAATGTTATGTCCAACATCTTGTGCCCATTTAATCATAACAGATTTCACTGTTTCATCTTGAGTATTCCATTTCAACAGCAAGTTATACATTCTTGACAAATTCTTAACTTTAGGATCTAACAGTTCTGTTTCCAATTTTGATTTTTCCACCTGGAAGCCAATTTTCTTGTCCAGATTGTATGCCTCCATTATTTGATAATAATGAAGCCAATCTCGCACTTTATTTTTTAGCTTTTCAAAGCTCTGCAATTTCAATTTATCTCCCTCTTGTTCCAGAATTTCCCAATATTTCGGCCATTTGGCCTCCATATTGAGCTTTTTCAGAGCCTTCGCTTCCATCGGTGACAGCCACCTTGGAGTTTTATTTTCAAGTAGATCCTTATATCTTGTCCAGACATTAAACAATGCTTTCCTGACAATATGGTTTTTAAATGCTTTATGTGCTTTGACCTTATCATACCACAAATATGCATGCCACCCAAATACATTGTTAAAACCTTCTAAGTCCAAAATGTCTGTGTTTTCAAGAAGCAGCCATTCTCTCAGCCAACAAAATGCGGCTGATTCATAGTAAAGTTTAAGGTCTGGCAGGGCAAATCCACCTCTTTCTTTTGCATCCGTTAGTATTTTGAATTTTATTCTGGGCTTCTTGCCCTGCCAGACAAATCTGGAAATGTCTCTCTGCCACTTCTTGAAACAGTCCATTTTGTCCACAATTTGCAGTGTTTGAAACAAAAACAACATTCTTGGCAATACATTCATCTTTATCGCAGCGATACGGCCTAGCAGTGAAAGCTTCAAATTTGACCATATTTCTAAATCTTTTTCACTTCAGTCCAACATTTTTCATAGTTATCCTTAAATAAATTCACATTTTTAGCAGTCATGTTAACCCCCAAATATTTCACTTTCTTAACCAGTGTTAATCCTGTCTCCTTCTGAAACCTCTCTCTCTCAGTTGCTGTTAAATTTTTCTCTAAAACCTTAGTTTTTAACTTACTCAACTTAAATCCTGCAACCTGACCAAATTCTTGAATCAGTTCTATAACTCTTTTAGTACTAGATTCTGGCTCCTGTAATGTCAATACTAAGTCATCTGCAAATGCTTTCAATTTATACTGTTTAGCTCCGACTTGTATACCCTTAACCAATTGGTCCCTTCTAATCATATTTAAAAGTACCTCTAGGACCGATATAAAAAGCAATGGGGAAATTGGGCAACCTTGTTGTGTCCCTTTCTCAATCTTAAATTCCTCCGTCACCACATTGATAACAATTAGTTTAGCCTTTTGTTCAGAATATATTGCACTTATACCGTTTTCAAAACCTTGACCAACCCCCATCCCCTGTAGGTTCTTCTTCATAAAACTCCAAGAAATGTTGTCAAAAGCTTTCTCCGCGTCCACAAATATCAAAACTGCCTTGGTATTAATATTCACTTGTAATTTTTCTAAAATATTGATTATGTTTCTCATATTATCAGACAAATGTCTACCCGGGAGAAAGCCTGCTTGATCTTTATGAATCTCTTCCACTAGCACTTTTTTTAGTCTTTTAGCCAAAATATCTGCAAAGATTTTATAATCCACATTAAGCAGTGATATGGGGCGGTAGTTCTTGAGCTGCGTCTTTTCAGTCTCTGTTTTCGGTATAAGTGTGATATACGCTTCCTTCCACGACTCTGGTGCCCTTTTCCCATCCATTATTTCATTACAGACTTCCTTTAAAGGTTGTACTAACCATTCTTTTAAAGATCTGTAGTATCTAGAAGTCAGTCCATCCGGTCCTGGAGATTTACCTAATTGCATATTCTGAATGGCACCTTCTACCTCCTGTTCAGTTATTTTGTAGTTCAACATTAATTTATTTTCTTGAGAGATTTTTTGTAATCCATTTATTTTCAAAAATCGATCTACATCAATTTCTTTCTGTGGCCCTTGTGTATATAATTGTTTAAAATACCTCTGGAAACAGTTTCTAATCTCGACTGGGTTCTGTATGTTCTTTCCTTCCACTTCTAGATTTATAATAGTGTTTAGTTTTTGTCTTTTTTTCATTTGCCAGGCCAACAATTTCCCACATTTTTTTTTTATAAGATATTTATTAAAGTTTCAACATATTACAAAAATAAGAGAAAAAAGAAAGAAAAAAAGAGAGAAAAAATAGAAAATGAAAATACAAAATAAAAACAGTTAAAAAACAGATTAGTCTTTTCATATCTTATCTTTCATTTGCTTGTTTCCCCGACCTCCTCACACCTCCCTTTTTTGTATTCCAGTTCAAATTAGTTAATTCAGCAAATCCTTTCCCTAATTTCCCACATTTATTAGCCGACTCAAATGTCTTTTGTCTCATTTGTTTAATTTTCCATTCTATTTCCTGATTCATCATTTTCATATATTGTACTTGATATAACTTTATTTCTCTCAAGATCTCTTGCGACTTTGGTTTTGCTCTCAATTTCTTCTCACTTTCCTTTATTTTCTCCAAAATTTTATCTTTCTTCTCATTTTGGATTCTCTTCTTTATTGCATTCTGTTGTATCAGGAACCCTCTCATAACCGCTTTGCTTGCGTCCCAGATTACTCTTTTTTCAACATTAGTGTTCATGTTTGTCTCGAAATAGTCTCTCAAGGTTTTTTGGGCCTTCTTAGTCACTTCTTCATCTCTAAATAAGGTGTCATTCATCCTCCATCTGAAAGAGCCAGTTGGTGTTAGTTTCATCTCCATCTTCACGGCATTATGGTCGGAGCAGGTTTTTGGACAAATTTCCACTTTTCTTGTCTTTGGTGCCATTCCTCTAGTTACCCATATTTGGTCAATTCAAAGTTATTTTCACTCTCATTAGTATTCATGGGATGGATTTCTTTTTAAAAGGCCAAATGGGGAAATTAAAAAATTGACCCCCTAATGTTTTTGCCTGGCCAGCGTTAGCTGGCAAGGATGAAGAACGGGCAATTTCACCACCATGCAATTTCTCACCACCTTCACAAGTGGTTCTGATTAGGTGAAATTCTAGTTCCACTTACCTGGGAGTAAACCCCACTGAATTTTGTGGGAGTGATGTGTATAGGATTGCATTGTGAGGAAAACTAACAGGTTCTTTGAAAGCCCCCCCCAATGGCTGTTCTTCTTCAGAATTAAAGCTGAAAAAACAGAAATGGACTTCTGGAAAGGTCCACAAAGAGGTTCAGCACACCAAGGGCTGATAAAGCGTGTTCTTATTAAAAGAGAGCACGTGTTGCGGTTGGGGCCAGGCAAGACACCCCGCTGTTGCCAGGTAGTTTAGGTTAGATGGGTCTGGTGAGGATTGGTTGCCTATGTTGCTGGGGTAAAATTGATGTTGCCAATTTGGGGGTGGGAACAGAGTTTATTTAAGCAGTGCTCACAGCGATCTCCTTTCTCTTTCACTGTGGGCACCGGATCACCCACCTGCCCTCCCTTGTTTTGGGCTTGTGTTTGACCTTGCTATGCCTGTCATGGGGTCGTCTGCCATTGGTGCAGGGGCCTGGTAGGAATTTTGTCCATCTGGCTGATTGGCTGGTGCCATTTGGTTTTTGCAAATCGTCACAACTTGTAAGGTTGGCGGTTAGACATTGGTTAAAATTGGTTGGTGGAGGGGTAAGGATTGGCTGGGCCTGCCCCTCCAATGCTGCTGCTGCAAGGGCATTCCGTTAAAGGAATTCAGGGGCTTGCCATCCTTTTGTCCAAACCCCTGGAATCGGGTTTGGGCCGTGTAAGCCCCTGGGAGCATGCGGGGAGAAGCTGAGGGCCTGTGTCACAGCTCCAGTCCTCCCCCATATTGTTTCCCCTCACTGACTTTCACTGGAATCCAAGAGTCAGTTCTGTCCCCAAGGCGGGGGGACAGATAGTCCTAACCAATGCCTAAGCAACCACTCACATCTATGTATATATAAAGTTGTGGCCAAAATTATGCCAAAAACCTTAAACAAAAATTCTGTGTGAAGTGTGAGTTATTGGGGTAG